TAGATAGATAGATAGATAGATAGATAGATAGATAGATAGATAGATAGATAGATGTTGATTACTTATGTTTCTTTGGCGTGAATTGTACTAAATTATATCAAAAAGCTACTTCAAGGCAACATATTAAATCTTCTGAAAATAAAACATTTGAAAATGATCCATTTTATATGAGATAACATAAGAATAGTACAAATTAAAAACATTCTAGTCAGGACACATACTCTTCACCACATATTTGAAAAAGAAGGAGTATGTGTTTATTATCAGGAAAAGAAAGTTGCCAATAGTACCATTATAAAAATAGCCCTCCAATAGTATCTTATGAAATTTTATCCACCAGGATGAGTTTCCACTCAACTGAATGTCTACTTTTTTTCTTGTACGCTCCTCTCCATCACCTTTAGCTAGAAGAGTTAAGTCATGAATCCTGATGAACAATACTCTTTAGGCAAACCTACGTTGGCAACATCATTCATAATCTTGGATATGTTTATATGATCTTCCCCTCCATCTTTTCCTCCTTATGATATAATTCTGCTCTTTACTGCATTTCTCTTCTATTACTGACTTTGTGTCTCACCTACTTTATGCTTCCATTCTGAACCTACTGCCTATTTATACCTCACACTTCTCTTTTTACTGAAATAAAAAGTCACAAAAATAATGTTGACCTAAATATTAACTTCAGATTTCATTTAAAATCATATGTTTTGTAAACATTGTTACCTACAGTCAGGAAGTATTTTTAATAAGAATCATATTTTGCAATTATATCAACATGTTTAGGAGAACATTTGCATCAGGAAATTTTGCTAGTGTTATATTATTATTAATTAGATTTTTCCAGTATTTGTACTCTTTCCCTATCTAAAAATTACAATATATGTGTAATGTGTATTTCTCTCTAGTAGTTTTCCTCACTCTTTCTATGTGTTGTATTCATAAAATAGGATTCATAATTTTTGCAATTACATATTTTAATACTTTCAAGGCAATTATTCAAAACATAAAATATAATAGAATTCACAATTCATCATCTCATAAATACATTTCTCCATATTTAATACTTTTTACCAAAATGTTATACAAAATCAAATAAAAATGTTAGCTATGTAAATGATAAGGAATAAATAAAGCTTAATCATATTAAAACAGTAACCTAAAATCTATTATAATAGGATCCTAAAATACTATAGAATAACCTGTTTCAGGATACTAAGTAATTTATCGTATTTCTTTTTCATATGTCTCATTAAAATTTAAGAAAAGTTCTTATTTCTAGAAAAACATCAAAGTCACAATGAAATAATAACCTATTTACTTTTAGAATGAAACTCATAAATATTTCTCAAGAATTAGGCAATTAATTATTCAAAAAGTGGGGGAAAGTCCCTGTATAAAAATTTTCACTTTAAAAGTAATCATTTGGGATAGGAGGATGGGGGAGAAGAAAAGAGAAAGAAGACACTGAAGAGAAAAAGATTAAGATGGAGAAAGAGAAAAGATGAATATGGCTTTTCCTCTCTGAAATTATTTTTCATGTGAGTGTATCTGAAAATCAATAAAAGAATAACATGGACTCCATTAGAAGTTCTAGTAACTCGTTGAGTTTGTGTATTAGTAATATTCTTTGTCATCAAAAAGAAAATTTTCCATTTTCTATAAAATATTTCTGTTTTTAAAACCTATATTTTGTCTTTTATTGAAGGAGGTTATTATTCATTGTGTTTTTAAGCCATCTGCTTTAAGAAAAGTTCACCTTAAAGGCCAGGTTTGTAAGTCTTGCATGTGAATCAGTAGGAGTTTCCCTCTGAACTGGGCTCTGTTTGGCTGCTTGAACACAGAATTTGCTCAGAAGGAACACAAGGATCTCTTGTAAATTTTGTAGCAATATTTTATTCATTGTACTAATAAGCAACAGTTTGCCTGTAAGTTATCAGTTCATTTCTGCTAAAAACAGTAATTTAGATTTTATAACAGATATGATAATGTAGTTGCAGTTTCAGTCCACAGATCCAGAAACAGCATCACTTAAAAGTGCATTGTGAGATTAGACTTCAACAGAAGTTCTTTATAAAATGATAAACTATGTTGCTACTTCACAGCAAAGCTCTTTGCTTCTTCTTCACCCAGGAACTGTGATTTCTTCGTTTGTATTCTAATCTCATGTGTTAAATGATTGCTTTCCTGAGATATTACCAGACTGGAGATGAAATAAACACTAAAATTACTTACTCATATTTTTGAATGTCAAATAATGCTCAACATAGTTTCCTTTCTTTTTTTTTCAAAACATAAAACATAAGTTGCTTCTGACTGCAAATGAACACTTAGTCTCCAATGCACTTCTAAATTGTGTTATCAAGGAGGTAAGCTTATGACCTGCGATGCTGTTATTATTTAAACAGTCCTCTCTGAAGGGAAATGGGGGAAATGGGATCCTTCCAACTGGTTTGTCTTGAATGAAGGAGCTGGATCATCCTCACAAAAAAAAAAAAAAAAAAAAAAAAAAAAAAGCCTACTATATCAAGCCTCAGCCTAGTGTTCCAAGCCACACATTAACCTCTGCGAGTGGCCCAAAAGGGAGGATTCCAAGAAAGTGGCATCTATCCTCGTTATTATTTTTTAAATAGGACTACTTTACCATGCACCAGGAAGCTTTGCATATCAGACATGAGGTTATGTCCTTTCAAGCACTTTTTTACCAGCGGACATGTATACACACACACACACACACACACACACACACACACCACACCACACCACACCACCTCCACCCTCACAGCACACACATCCCACACACTCTCACAACAAATATACAGGATGGGGATGGAATCACCCTCTGGGATGGCTTCTAGACCCTAAAAGCATCCCTAAAAGCGATTTTCTGTCGGTTGCCAGCTTAGGAGCCCAGGTTACAGCTCAGCCAGCTCCCAACTACCACAAGAAAGCCCTTGGTCTCCGTGTTCAGAAGAAAAACTATCCGATCCGACCCCTGTGGCCACAAAAGAGCTGGAAAATAAACCAGATAAAGAAAAATAACTATCACAAACAGCCACAAAGCCATGGAAAATATTGGCGAAAGGCTGTAAAGTTTCAGTGGAGGATTGCAACTGAAGTTTGGCCGGGACTCTTTTCAGACTGGAGCCCTACCTCTGAATGCAGCCTAGAAAAGACTGGCAATTAATTAGCCCTTCTAATTCTCTCTACCCCGCAGCTTACATTGCAAAGAAGCAAGACTCAGTCCCTACAAAGTTGGATGAGGTTGATAAGACATACAGAAGAGGGCAAAGGGTTAAGAAGAGAGTTAAGAAATTAGTGTCTCACCTGGCGTTGGTGCAATCGGTGAACAAAGTTTCGAAGTCTTTCCTGGTGATGAGCTTGCACCGGTTCACTCCTGGCTGGATGGCCCCCAGCCCGCGGAGGATTCGAACTTGCTCCACAGTGCACACCACGGGGGATATATCCAGTCTCTTCAGCTTGGTGTACACTGTGTGCAACCCTCCCACCAGGTGCTTGAGGAAAAGATCAAAGACTTGAGGCAGGCAGATCAGTTCCTGGCCGTCCATCAGGAATGAAGCCACCTTCACCCCATGCATGTCGACCATCCGGCACTCAGTGTTGGTGTTGCTGCTACCACCACCAATCCCGCCACCCACGACACTGCTGTTGTGGTTATTGGCCATGAAATTGTTGATCATAGTAGGGGTTAGACGAGGGGCCTCTTCTGGAGACGAATACAGAGGTTCAGCCCGGAATAACCCCCCCGGGACGCCGGCGCTGCTGGAAGTTGTAGAGATCACTGGAGGTGTGGAGACATCCATGGTCACTATGTCTTGCAGCTCTAGTGGCCCTAGCTTTCTTGCTCTGACTCCTCTAGGTACCCTTGCACTCACTCACTCTGTCTCTCTCTCAGACACGTTCGGACTCTCTGAACTGTTCTCAAGTCTAAAGCCGGCTGCCTCCAGCTCCAGCTTAACCACCACCCCACACACTGCGAACAGCTTCGACCCGTGGCTGCCCAAGACCCCACCCCCACCACACCCCCTCCGGAGATTGGCAGCGATCCCCCTCCAATGGACCCCACCCCCTCAGAGCCTGTGCACTCTGAATGGCTGACGCCTGCGAGGGGTGGAGACTCTCCAGCCAGCCTCTGCCTACCTGAGGCTGTTTAGAGCTTTAGATGAATTGAAGTGGAGCGCTAGGAAGGGGCGGTGTGGTACCTCGGTTTATGGCCTGGCAATCGGAGCAGAGTGTCCATTTGTCAGGTTTCAGAGGGAACTACGCTTCCAGCCTGTCACAAACGGGGTCACAAGCGGGACTAGCAAATGTGTCTCCTGCATCCCACAAGCTCGCCACAGCCATCTCGCACCAGGTTGGGTGAAGGAAAGTGACTTAGATCTAATTCCTCTTGCACATTTCTCCCAAACTCAGCGGAGCGAAGAGGTAGCTTTTACCAGTATCCAGAAGAAAGAACCCAGTGAGTTCACAAGTGAACAATTCAGCCTTTCTCCTACCCACTTAGCTCACTTGCTGTAATTTATTCCTTCTCCAGTATTCACGGAACCTCTCCCCAGAGTTCTGGCACTCCTATCAGAATTGCTGGTCGCAACTCTTGGACCCTCAGGAAGCGTGGTAGGGAGCCTCTGTGGCAGATGGGCAGACTGTTTTACAGCATTTCCGCCACTGTTCTGAAACAGACAAGAGTTTTGTTTTGTTAGTGTGTGCGTGTGTGTACCTGTGTTGCAAGAGCGCGCACTATACCTTAGTCTAGCCCTAATATTACCAAAAGACTCAAAATAGTACATAATTTATAAGGACAGATGTTAACAATCTGAACGAACTTTTTGTTTGTTTGATTGTTTTTCCTCACAAGTAGGCTCAGACCAGTGAATGGCTCAGGCATTTCAAAGTCTCTCTATTCTAAAAAGTAGTTCAGGATTTTCATTACCCTATCTAGCAAACACCCCACACTTACTACGAGAACAGACTAAAAAAGAAGAATTCTGAGTAGGCTACATGCCCGAAGAACAGCATGATCATTTCCATACAGCATATCATAGTTAAGTCGCCTTATCCAAGTTGTTTGAAATTCCATGTCAAAGTTTGATTAAACTGAAAGGTATCTACTTTGTTATTTTCTCCTGGAGAAGGGGGTAGTTATTCACCTCATTATATTCAGGCTTCATTCATTTACAATAGCTACCACCTATAGAGCTACATAACTTCTCTGATATTCTTCCAGAACATAAATACTTTTAGAAACTTGTTAAGTTTTATTAGTGCTAGTTGTACTTAACATTATCAAAGAGAGGGAGTGAGTATGGTCCTTTTCCTCATTTCGTAAGTTGAAGAGACCTTAAGTAAGATGTTTCTGTCTATCTACAGCTTACTTTTTCCTTCAGTCATTTCATCAACCAAATATTACAAATTTTCTTTTGAGTCTCCTCATAGTATTCTATTTCAAATTGAATGAGGTTAAAAAAAATGAAGAACTCGTGAAGATTGTGGCTTTTGGAATACAAGAATAAGCAACTCTAAAGTAATAGAATGGAATTTATTCAATCACAAATCATTTTTAAAGGCATGAAATTGTTGCTACACTCTTGGGAAAAAAATGAGAAGATATATGGGCAGAAGAAGAAAAGTTTTCTACAGAAAGTGGTGGTTTTCAGAGGTTTCTACAATATGTGGTCATTTTAAGTGATACTTATAACTAAAGATATCTAGATCAAGGCTCCAGATAGTGTGTTCTTGGATTTCTTGATGCTTTGATGACTTTATTTCTGTTATATCTATTATCTATGGTTTGAGACTGTATTAAATTCCATACATGGAGCTTCATTTTATTTCCTTTGTATTTGAATACCTTCCATCAGACAAACGTGTTTCTAAATAAGCCTGGCCTTCTAAAAGACAGGGGAAGGCTTTGCACATTAACACCTTGTAACTTTGGAACTGCATGAAGTATTATAAAATTGTAAAGGCTGTATTAAACAGAGTGCCCTTGGGAGATGAGATGCACTGCACAAACACTAAAAGTTGCACAACTGTAATCCCAGTACTCAGGGAGGCAGAGGCAGGTGGATCTTTGTGAGGTCAAGGCCAGCCTGGCCTACAAAGAGGGCAGCCAAGGCTACACAGATAGAGTCTGTTTTGGAGGTGGGGGTGGGGGGGAGGAGATAGGAGCTAGCCAATGGATTAAATATGAATAAAATTCATGTAAGTAGATAGTTATTTTATAAGAAAATGTTCTGGACTGCACTAGTTCTAGTAGAATTACTTAATAATGTGACTCCTAAAACAAAACAACTATATACTTCCTGGTGTTAATTAGAAATTTGCATTTTATTCTAATTCACTTTCAGTTAAAAGGAGAGGGTCCTCATTTGTAAACATAAGCAAAATATTCCCATCTTTCTGGCATAGCCTGTAAAAAGATACCTCATTAAATATTAACTCTTTTTAAAAGATTTATTACTTTTTACTTGTTTGCCTGCATGTATATGCACTACATACATACTCATGGAGGCCAGAAGAAGGCATGAGATTCCCCTGAAACAAGAGTTGCATACTGCCTTGTGGGTTCTGGAAATCAAAGCTGGGACCTTTGCAAGTGCTTTTAACTATCATCCATTTCCCCATTCCTGCTCTTTTTTTTTAAATTTATTACAGGTCATTTATTTCGTGTGTGTGTGTGTGTGTGTGTGTATTTAGAGTCAGTTCTTTCCTTCCACCATGTGAGTTTCAGGGATCCAGTTCACATTCTCAGGCATAAAGTGCCTTTACTTGCTGAGCCATCTTGCAAGCCCTCTGTATTTCAATGCATTTTTGTTTATCTTTTGAGAATTTGATACACATGTATGATATATTTTGATCATATTTATCTCCTCCTTCCCATCCAACTCCTCAAAGAACACCACCATGACATCACCTTGGCAACTTCATGTCTTCTTTTTTAAGCCACTAAGCCCAGTTACTACTGCCCACATATATGCATGGATATAGGCTGTCTACTGGAGCATAAAGCCCTATATCCTATAAGAGGATTTTTATACACATATGTGCATATATATGCAACCTTAAATAGAACAGCAAAATATCCAAAAGTTTTTGAAGTGGCTGGTTCTCAGAAAAGACATTCAAGCACAAACCCAAGATAACGGAATTATTTGAAACCCACAGAAAACCCTGTAACTGTACCCCCAGATATGCTTAATCTATTCCCAGGAAACTGGCTGCAAAATTATCTATACTGTGCCTTTTTTTCTTCTTTCATTTGCAATGTTAAAATGAAGGTGAATTCTAAGGAAAGTAAAAGCGGAATGTGCCTTTGGAACAAGAAAAAAAAATCGTCAAGCTGATAGAATTAACAGCTAAAAATTAGAGGCTTAAAGGGAAAAATGATTGTTTTCTAACTGAAGTACAAAAATTGTAAACTTTTAAAGTACCCACACTTTACTACTTTTGACCTCTTTGTGTCCTAAGGCCACGAATCAATTTCATTCCCTAGTCTAGTCTCTTTTTTTATCTGCAGTGTATCCTTCTTTGCCTACTCTTATTCCTTTTATTATTAAAATAAATCACAAGACCTTGAATGAAAGCAAGCAAAAACACTCTTCAAACCTTCAGCAATAATTCTCACTGTTGTCCCGAGGATCCTGGCATCAGTATCATCTGGGTTCTTGACAGAAATATAAACTGTTTTTCATAACCAAGACCTACAAAAACAGAGAATCTAGAAAATTAGCCCAAGAAATTTGAGTTTTAATAAAATCTATAAATGATTCTGATAAAGGCAAACTATTGTGATCCACTTGTACTCACACTGATTTTTCAAAATTTTTGAAAATCTCAGCTTCTTTAAGTTGTTTCTCTTTCTAGTACACATTTGCCCTTAACCTTTTGCAATTTAATTCTTCATAAAACACAGTTGAAATTATTATGTCAGGCATGATTATTTTATTGTTAAACACCAATCTAAGTTTGTTTTTTCTAAATCTTCATCCATAATGTCTTGTTTTTCTGTACTATATTTTTAATTATTAAAATTATTTTATTTTTTGAGGTTATAATATAATTAAATCATTTCTCCCTTCCCTTTGCTCCCTCCAAACTGTTCCATAAACCAGTCTTTGTTGTCTTCAAATAATGATCATTCTTAAGACCCTAACTTTTGGCTTCCTGATTTTACAACAACCAAATATTTCTCTTCTGTACACCTTTTTCAGTTTCATGTCCTTGTTCTTAACACTGAAAATGAAAAGCTTCTCAAGTGTGCACTATCATGACTGATCATAATTTCATCAGTTTTCTGTAGCTTCAACATCACCAACCTAATGGCCTGCTCTAATTCTTATCTCTAGATTTTTAAAACTCTTGGTCAAAATAAAATGTGTCTAGGGCTGGAAAGCACTTACTGCTCTATTAGAGGACTGGAATTAATAAAAGCCTGAAACTTCAACTACAGGGAATATGATGCCATGTTATGGCACCTGTGGGCACCTGTACTTATGTGCACATACCCACAGACAGATGGACACAGTTAAAAAATACAATACATGTTTTATTTATTTTTTAAGTTTATTTATCTATTCACTTTATAACCTGAACACAGTCGCCTCCCTCCTCTCCCCATGACCCCACCTTCCTATCCTCCTTCATTTCCCCCCTCCCCTTATTCTCAGAAAAGGGAAGTCCCCCAACATCAACTCACCACAGCACATCAAGTCACATCAGAAGTGAGTGCATCTTCTTCCACTGAGGCCAGGCAATACAGCCCAGCTAGGAGGAAGTGATACAAAAGCAGGCAATATAGTCCATG